TTCTTGTAGCGACCAAGCACGCCATGTTCAAATCAGCCAGTGGCTGATAGAACGGCTGTGAGTGATTTTGTAGCTTCTTTTATCATTTGTCGAAAGAAGAGAAAGCAATTTTTAGCTGACTTTGAGAATTTATTGTGAATTCCAGGCCTTTTGCTATGCTATAATATTTGGCTCGCGTGTTCTTGGGAGCCTCTACTACCGATTGGCAGCGTTTTCTGACCATGTTTAAAAGTGTTGCAGGGCCACTTTGACTTTCTCAAACTGCACCCAAGTTGCCTATTCTGAATATAGGCTCTTATAGGCATTCAGGCACAAATGCCAAGGAAGGCATTTATAAACACTTAAAAACACTAGACAGTAGACTCTCCGTAAATGGAAATCTCTTAAATGTAACTGCTTCTTATACTAAACTGCCCAAATATGATTAGCTTCATACTTGATTCTGCACTCCTGCTCCTCTCTCAGTGAACGGAACTCCTGTTAAATGGGTCATATTTTCCCGGTTCCTTCTTAACTAGAGTCTACTCTAAAAAGCCCTTCTGAACCTTTAATTCGGGCTCATATATAAAGGGGGGTGGGGGGGTAGGAGCACCAGGAACAAAATAGGCATTTGCCTGAAATCCAGTCTCTAGTTGAGACAAATATTCAAACTTTAAATGCGAGTATTTTATGTATGAGCTCATGCAAGCTGTTCATACATAAGCCACTCGCTGCTCCTTGATCACTATTACTTGTACTTCAATGTATTGTTAGTAGGCTTACGCGATTAGTGATGTGGTCGAATAATTTTGAATCAGATTCGAATACAATTTACCTCATATTATAAAGAAATATGATTATATTTGTCACGACCCAACTAACCTGCACCATTTTTTTTTAATTGAAACAAGGCATGTGTAAAAATTATTCTTTTTGGTTGAAAGAAATTGGAAGCAACTTTGAATGGTAGCAGGATTTGAATTTTGGTTGAATGCAAGTATAACCTGTGAAATATCTTATGATGCCTGAAAGTGAATGAACAAAAGCCACAACCGCTGCTGCGCTGTAGTGAAATTTAAGTCTGCTATGCTGCGTACCACAACACATACTGTGAATCTGAAGTGCTGTGGCTGTAGGCGGAATTTCAACCACCTGAATTTTTTTTCTCCTTTATTTTTGAGGATTTCCTGTTCTATTACCTTTTGGCACTGACATTGAACAGCCATAATTTACTGTTTAAACCGATTATGCGGCATGCAGGTATTGCTGTAAGTGGGTTATTTAACTATAGAAAATATACAGAAATTAATGGTGCAGTAGCTTTTTATTGTTATAACCGATATATTGTTAAAACTGTTACAGCTATAAGTGGGTTGAACTGTACACTGATATACCCGGGGAGGGGTTGAGGCTGCCACCCAGGATCCGGCAAAGGACGACTCTTGCGACGCGTCTCACGAACAAGTAGAAGATGCGTTTAATATACATATTTGCGAGAGAAGTACATTGCAACGAGAGCGTACTGACGCGCCTTTCCATCACAAGGGCCCAGAGCGCACTCGAGACGAGCGGGCCAGGGAAGTCCAGAGAGAGAGTCCAGCGCACTCCCTACACGCTCCTTTTATAGCCGTTTGTGCACGCGCTAGACGCCGACTGCGTACAGCAGGCCTGCCGATGCGCGTTCCTCGCAGCGCGCCAAGAGATTTCCCGCGTTCCTGTGGAACGCGGACAGCGTATGGCAGGTACGCCGATGAGCGTCCCTTGCATGCCGGTTCCTTGTATTGCCGGTTATGACAGCTCGTCCGCCGTCCGAAGAGGTCACGTAAGGGCTGCAGTGGCGCTGCTCCCTGAAGTGGCCGTAGTTCGTTTCCGTAGGCGCAGCACTGTCCACCACAACACAGAGACACTCACCGCATAGCAGGTCTTACGGTAGGCGCACCTCGATGTCGTAAAGAGGCCCAGCACATCACACGCTTGGTCACAGCATGGGACTGTCCACAGCTGCAAAGGCCCCGTCACCGCTGCCTGGTCGTCCACTGGCCGAAGGAAGCAGGAAGCCCTACCGAAGGGCCACAGTCCGCAATAGCTGGTTCGTCGTGTCCACCATGCCATGCTGTTGGACCGGTAGGCATAGCAATCTTCTGCCTGCCTTTAGCGGGGAAGACGCTCTCAAACCGGACACCCACACTGAGAACACTCAGCTCTCCCGAGAATCACCAGGTGTAACTTGCTGCAAGGCTCGTAATTTATTGCACAATAGAAGACTACACTATGGTGGTGACCAAGTGAACTCGAACAAAGAAATAAAAACGCGCGCGCACACGCACAAGGCTAAATAGTAGCACTTGCGTCTGACAAAGGACTCAAATATGCATCTCCAAGGCAACACTGAGTAACAATATTTAACACGCACGTGTAACAGTTACTCTAACTGACCGTTCCCCCTTTCTCAACTAGATTATTTTTATTCGCACACGACGGGGTCGCGGCCCTGGCGGTTTTCGAGCACGCCAGAAGCTACAAAATGCACAAACTCTAAGCAGTGCAATGCTGTCCTCTCTCATTTTACACTTGGGCCTATTCCCCGCAGGAATTTGAAAGTGACGCCAGAAGCTGGGGGGGGAGCCTGTGCCATTTTCTCTTTGTGTTCACCCCTACGCGGTATTTAGCCACTCTGCCCTTCTGACTTTGACCCTTCGGGCAAGGCCGCTTTTCCGAAGTCGTCGAACTGAACCGCGCGCTTCGTTTGGGTGACGTCCCTCCTTTTCCCCCTCCACACCTGGCTCGCCGCTTGTACCTCTCTGAACGCCACCGTTGACGTTCCTTAAAATGGATTAACGGCCTACCCTCTCGTCTTTCTTGCGACTGAGTGGGGCCTGTCCTAGGCTTACGCAGTGACGAACGGTTCCGCTTCTTTCTTTTTCTGCGATGTTCGCAAATCACCTCGATAATAGGGCTGCACTGCTGAAGCATGGCGTTCTTGCTCTCACCGGCCACTGCGCTATCCATGCCTACATTTGACGATGTCGAAACATCCTCTTGAGGCATGAAGAAAGCTTCCAGCTCCTTACTGGGCCCTTTAGGACTGCTGGAACTCTCCTCATTCATGCAAGGAGCGTCTTCCGACATCGTCCCTACCTCCAGACCGGCCAAGGCCTCGTTCTCTACATGCTCTACCTTGATGCATTCAAAAATGTGCGGGCCCTTTTCTGGCGCGATCTCTGGTTCTAGCGCTTCCTGACGCGCCTCAACCTCTGCAATCTTAAGCTGAAGCCGCAAGCGCTCAAGCTCCCTTTCTTGGCTTTCCGCTTCTTCTTTGCGTCTGACGGTTTCTCTTTCAAACATAAGGCGCTCTCGCTCTTCGACTTCTTGTGCCCTTTTCATCCTCTCCTGAATTAGCTCCCAGCACTCGGCGAGCTCCTCCGCATCCGTGCCAGAATCCTTAACCGCCTGTATTAAAAGTGGCTTTCTATGTATAGTCGCCACCTCAATCCCCAGCTCCTGGCACAACAGCACTAAATCCGGTTTCCTCAATTTGTTCAAGTCCATGGTCGCCCCGTGCAGACTGCCGTTGCTCAAACTGCCGTGAAGGTACCTCTAATAAAACCAATCCTTCACAAAGCAGCAACTAATCTACCCTTTTGGATAAACATCACCATCTATCCAAAACACCTGGCAGAATCTCTACGGAAAGTGAGCACTCACCAGCATCGGTACCAGGAAAGAACACGAACCGATCCCGCCGCTGCCAACCAGTTGATATGCCTGGGGAGGGGTTGAGGCTGCCACCCAGGATCCGGCGAAGGACGACTCTTGCGACGCGTTTCACGAACAAGTAGAAGATGCGTTTAATTTACATATTTTCAAGAGAAGTACATTACAACGAGAGCGTACTGACGCGCCTTTCCATCACAAGGGCCCAGAGCGCACTCGAGACGAGCGGGCCAGCGAAGTCCAGAGAGAGAGCCCAGCGCACTCCCGACACGCTCCTTTTATAGCCGTCCGTGCACTCGCTAGACGCCGACTGCGTACAGCAGGCCTGCCGATGCGCGTTCCTCGCAGCGCGCCAGGAGATTTCCCGCGTTCCTGTGGAACGCGGACAGCGTATGGCAGGTACGCCGATGAGCGTCCCTTCCATGCCGGTTCCTTGTATTGGCGGTTATGACAACACCTATTTGTTCATTTTAAATACTTAGACATTTCTAATAATTCAAAATTGAATCAATGCAAATTCTAATACTGTTATTCGAAGTGCTAATATACTTGCAAAGACCTAGTTGTTAGTGATGCTGCAATTCAAATAGATGTTCCATTTTTGTTTTGGTCAGATACACAGGATTAATGACACAACTATACAAAACTTGCCATTATGCCGTGGCAGTTTTTTTTTCTTCAATGAATAAAGTGAACTCTCATTGACTAGGTTACTTGAATTTCAAAATATAAAAAAGAAACGTTCGTTCATTCAAAGTTTGTCATTCAATCATGGTGGGAATTTGATGTATTATTTCACAGTAGAAAATGCAGTCATCAGCATAAGTCTGAGTGTTTTGTATTAATTTGTCTGGCAGAATTAATATATATTGCAAACAGCACAAGCCCAAGGATTGATTCTTGCAGCACATTAAAGTTATGAAACAGGCAGGTTAAATGATTGTTCGCCGATATGTACAAAGGGTAGTTGTGGAACATCATAACCATTATGATCAACATCACTACAAGGTAGCATATGCGGGTGTTGGCTGTGTCACCAATGCCCCGTGTTTATCCTATATTGTAATTTAGTATAGTAAATTATGTAAAGTTACCGGACAGTTTTTCTTTCGTCACTTCACAGTCCAAAATACTTCTATTTGCATGCCAAATACTCCATGCCAGTCAACTTGAAAGCAGTGTATACATTGATTTCAGCGTGCGATTCATACACTAGGAGTAGCAATATTTTACCGACATTCAGATTGGCAGTATGGTTGCAGCTACAATGAGGCACCCTTATGTTTCTCATGTGTGTGGTGTTTCAGAGGTGTCAGACCAAGCCTGAGTGTGGCCGGCAGACCCTGGCAGAACTGATGATTCGCCCCATTCAGAGGCTGGGAAGCATGATCCTGCTGCTGAAAGGTGTGCAATTTTCGTAGATGTAATCGGGGGGGTAGCATTTCTACACTATTGTGTACATGTCCTTCGCAGCCCAGTGCTTCTTCAGTGTACAAACCTGGCTTTGCAGACTACAGTTCTTCAGTGATTGGGAAGTTTAATTTTCCTTACAGTAAAACACTTTAAACACTGATGTGAGAGACAAGTGCGCATGAGATACACTAGTGCAGGTCTCGTATGAAGGGATTGAACTCTTCTTCCAGTGTAAGTGTTCAAACAAAGGTGGAGGCTGAGGTAAAAGCTGCGATGAGGCAGCTTTAGGTGCTACCATAAGCTCAGTGTATCGCACTCCGTACTCTCCATTGGCCAAAATTGTGCTCTGCTGATTGTAGCAGGAAACCAAACTACTATATCTCCTTTTTGTGCATAGCAAAAGCCTGCAAGCGATGCCACATTGACATAGAGAGCAGTGTGCTTATGCTTGCAGCTTGGTTTTTGTGGAGGATACTGCCGCCATAGAACTCTCAGGCCATTCTTGGAATTACATCTCCCAGTTCTTGCCATTGCAACCCTCATGGGAGCATGTGGTCCATATGTCCTTATGCCCGATAAGCTAACCCTTCGTCATACCCGTAGAAAATTTCTGCATCCTGCCCTTACCATGCATAGCTGCAGCGAGTCTGTCGATGTTGTAGGCCAGGCGTCAATACCAGCAGAGGACTCTTGGTCCAAGTGCTCACTCGAAGAGGGCTTAAAGAACGGGTGTGAATTGAAATTGTAATGCTCTGTACCCAAGTTGTCATGTACAAGAAGGAGGGTTGGGAAAGCCTAACACGGGGCACCTACTCGGCAGATTGACCTTATGCATTGGATATTTGCACACGATTGTGCGAAACATTTACATGCTCGATGGACTCGACAAATGGGTGGTTGCAAACCTGCGGTATATGCATAGGGGCTTTTATAGAGAAATAATGAGTGTGGCTGACTCTCACTGGGTCCAGGCACATCACATGCAGCAAGAGCAAACTATTTTGACTCAACAAATTGAACATTCTATAACACAGTCCGGCCTCTCGCTTTGCCCAATTCTTTATCAGACAACTTGACAACACCGTCTTGCAGCGTCTTTCCCACACTCTTAATTTCATTCTAACCAACTTCTTTTGTGTTCTCATCTCTTAAGAAAATGCCTGGGATACTGCAATGTTTTGTTTTGTCACTTTCAGAAATTCAGAAGCGGACGCCCAAAGCTAACAAGGACTTTCAGGAACTGGAAAGAGCCGTGGCGGCCCTCAATCAAATTATGCTGTAAGTAGGGTTGCTTATTTTCCAGTCATGTACATGGCATGCACTTTTCATGCAAAGGGCTCTTGTCACGGCAGGCACTTGTCACTCAAGCAAAGTTAAGAGACGTTTGCCTGCTGTGCATTGGCCCCCTCTTCCCGCCCTGGATATGTATATACCAAGAAGGGGCATGCATGAGCTCTGTGCACATAATCACTGCCACATAGACTTCTGTTATCAGTTTCATGTGCAAGCTCACTCTAGGTATAGCTGTTTTAAAAGCATGCTATAGATCTATATGCAAGAGCTTGTGTTACTGTGGTACTGAAGAGAATCTTGCACTTTATTGTTTTGTGATATAATTTTTTTCATCATATTGCTTTTTAACAGTGAAGCTGTTGTAGCCTGCAATAGTTAGTATGGTGTCACCAGAAAACTCCACAAGTGGGTATGCACCACAGGAATTGGGCAAGTTCCACTACTATATACAACAGGTACGGGTGTTAAACAAAAGCAAACATGTGAGAAAGTAAGATAGGAAGAAAGAGGTAAAAAAATAGGGAAGAGAAAAGTGTAGAGAAATAAAGTGGTTAACAGCATAGAAAGATAGAACGAGAAAGAGGCAGAAAGATATAGAAACAGGCATGAAAAAGAGACTGGGAGCATTACAGAACGAGAGAAATATAGAGAAATAGGCCGGGAAAGAAAGAATTGCAAATTAAAATGGAAAGAAGCTTGCAAGAAAGAGATACAAGAAATGGAGAGAAAGAGAAGAAAGAAGTAAGAAAGCCATCCAGCTGCGCTCTTCCTTCAGGCTTGGCACCACTAGTGCAAAGCTGCCACAAGCTGTTCAACAATGAACCGTCACAAACTAGCCAAAGTTTCCCTTGTGCTTGTGACATCACTTTTTTGTGAACATATCTTAGTTCATGGAATATGGTTGATTCACATATTCACTCTGTTTTAAGCACCCTACGTGGTCTATAGGTGCATGCACCTTTTTTTGCCATGCAACAGAAGTCTGAAACAAACGTCTGGTCCTAAAGCCTCAGACATTATTATTATGAATCAAACATCCTTGACTTGTGCACGATAAGCCATGTCTCTTGGTTATTCGAGCTATCTGCATGTGTAGCCTGCAAATTAGGTGCATTTTCTCGTTCTAGTGTAGGAAATTTCTCATTTTTGTGCACATACTACTTTTGAATTTGTGGCAGTCTAGACTCCAAAAATCTTGTAATGTTTAAGCTAATCGTATTTTGCATAACGTCTATTCCCAAGGTACCTGGGGTCTGGAATTTTTTTATCACTGTGCACTTTTCACCCATGCATGACTGCACAGCCTCCAAAGATGAACCAAAAGTTTCCTTTGCAGAAACATCAATGAAGGAAAACGCAAGACTGAGAGCCAAGTGGCTATGTTTGACATATTCAACGACATTGAGAAGTGCCCGGTAAGCAAGGATGGTTTGCATTCACTGAATGTAATTCCACATCTGCTACACGCTGCGCTGCAATGTATTTCTTTTTGTGCTATAACTGCATGTGTAAGTGATCTCCATGCACCGTTTTAATTGGAAGCTCTGTCTTAGAAGCTCATTTCTGTAAATACACAAAAATGCATGCCTAATTTTGTTTGGAATTCACTGTGCCCAACTTGATCATGACGATGGTCTGCATCTCCATCGCCTGTGACTCAACAGTGAGTGTGACCTTTCTTAGGCCTGGAAGACACTGCGAACTCACGCTGTGACTGCTCCTTAGGTACAGTTGCTATAGCATGTTAGTCGCACAGACGCTAACAAGGTGAATTCCCTCTAGCGATCAAAACTTACATCATGGCATCATGAACAAGTATAGGAATGAGGACAGGCATAATAAATGCCTCTAGCGTTCATTTTCATTCATAGCCATCAATATTTTCTTTGTGATTTAATGCAGCAAATTTAGGAAAATTGTAAAGTCTGCAGTTTAAACTTGGGCAGTGAAGCAAGTTGTGTGGAACTGTGGGCTTGTGCGAATAGTGAATTTTATGTCCTAAGTGAATTCGAAGCGAATAGTGATTTTAGTTGAATAATTTCGTATCGAATTCATATATATGTGACATAAAGAAAAAAGGGCATATTTGTCGTGACCAAACTAACCTGCACAATATTTTTCTAAAATTGAAACAAGGCCTGTACAAATGCCATTTTTTTTTAGCATGAAAGGAAGTGGAAGCAACTTCGAACAGTAGCAGGATTCGACTTTCAGTAGAACGCAAGGGGTAGCCTGTAAAATATGTTGCATTTTGAAATTTTCTATACTAAGAGCGTGAGAGGGGGTATAAGAAGCTTTTAAACTTAAAGGGGCTCTGCAACACTTTTTGAGCATAGTCGGAAAACGCTGCCAATCGGTAATAGAGGCTCCCGACAACACGTGAGCCAAATATTATAGCGCAGCACGCGGCCTGGAATTCACAATAAATTATCAAGGTCAGTTAAAAATTGCTTTCTCTTTTGTCGACAAAATGACAGAAGGTGCTCAAAAATCACTCTTAGAAAGCCATCTATCAGCCATTGGCTGATTTGAACATGGTGTGCTCAGTCGTTAAAGAGATCGCCACGGGAGGTTGCGACTTATCCACGCGTGCGCAAGCAATCACACTGAAGAAGCCGCGCATTCGAATAAAAAAAGAAAATTAGGAAGTGCTCAATGTCACGAGGTGCACGTTATGTTTTTCTTTGCCCCTGTCATTCCTCCCTGCTTAGCCTCCAGCGCTTTCGTCGGGACGAGAGATGAGCGAATGCAATTGCAGCATGCGACAAATCTTGGTAACTCCACTCGCACTGGACGGATTCTTATAACTTTTGCAGCGTTGAATGCGTGGGGCAATAAGCTCTTCCAGTGAATTTATTCCATGGTTACTTGAAAAAGTGTTTCAGGGCCCCTTTAAAAAATGACCAATCTAATTGAGGGTAACAAGTTCATTTAACCTTGAAAAGGAGAAGCTTCGTGGCAGCGCACATTTTTTTTTTTTTTGATGGGTACTTTCATGGTTCAGCATCATCTCACTGCAGCGAAACCAATTGTACAAAAAGCTGCATGCAAATAAATATGCATTTGGACAGGTGCTTTCACGGCTTAGCACTCCTTTATTTCAGTGAAACCATCTTTACACGGTGTACATGCGCAACAAAATTTATCTATTCGTTCGCCTCAAATAATTCGAAATTTTCAATAATTTAAATTCAATTAAAAGTGAATTCGACTATTTGTTCGACTATTCGAAGCATTCAATATTTGCAAAAGCTTATACTCGGCAACATATTTTCTTGGCACTGGAGAGAAAGCTACAGAGCCAAATCGCGTGCACCTCACCACCAGCGAATGTAGTTCCAAAGTAGCGCCCGTATTTTCAGCGTTTTAATATGGGTTCCTCCTTTATTTTCTATGTGGAGCTATTTTAGACAGGACGCAGCTCACATCGATAAGCTATTCGTATTTCTTTTATCTGTTGTGACTTCATGTTTTTGAATGCGTGAGAAATTCCTGCTTTTTGACCTGCACCTCAAACGTCTCCATCTACATGAAACGCTGATGGTGCGCCCCCGTCACTTTCCACAGCGAGACGCACGCCAAAACGGACTACATGTGCAGATGCTCCACCTCCGTAGCTTTCCCTTCAGCGCCAAGAAAAGTTGTTGCCGAGTATAGTGAACTGAAATTGCTCAGTAATCTCGAGCAGATAAAGATGATGTAATTAACATCACTCTAAAATAAACTTGCATACAGCTGACTTTTTCCGAATGATTTTGAATACTGTTGCAATGTCGCATTAGCTATAAATCTGTGTGGTGCTCCCGTCTTCTTCATCCACTTCAGATCTCTGTGAAAGCTAGCTAATTGAGATATACATTTGGGGCTAAATTTTCGCAAATCACTTATTAAATAAAACCATGGCTTATTAGAACCACATGTGTATTTCTAGTTCTTGTGTATTATTGGTGTCATTAACAGAAAGCTTCCCCACTGTGCAGTCAGTGTTACAAATGTTTTACTAGGTTATTGAAACTCGTTTATTTTTGCATGCTCTCTGCAGCCCAATATCTTGTCTGGCCACCGGTACTTCGTGACTAATCTTGATGTAGTGGAGTTGGGAGAAGGGGGCCTAAGCCGCAAAGGGGATGCGGTCTCCCTGTTCCTCTTCTCCGACATCTTGGAAGTGTGTCGACGTCGGAGCCGAGCGATGCTGACATCCCGCAGCCCAGCCACACTGGGCCGTTCGGGCCTTCCCAAGACGTACAAGCACATCGTCATGATCCACCTGTATGACGTGAAGCGGGTAGTCGAGCTCATGCCCACCGAGGACATTGGTCAGTCTGCCATTGGCTTTTTTTTTTTCTATTCCTCAAATTCGTAAATGTACTGGTTTTCTTTCTGCTGCCATAAATGCCAGCTTGCAGAATGGAGTGTTTCACTGCAGCCATGAAGCAATGAATTCAATAGCAACAAGTTCATATATATATATATATATATATATATTCTCGTACTGCTTCTTCATTGATGGCATTACAGGAGTGGGAAAAGAAAAAACAAAAACAGCAAATCAGCATTCATAAACAGGCTTCTAGAAAAAAAGTGGTAGTCAATGAACACTTTCGGGCAGCGAATTCCGAGCTTCTATAGTTGAAGGGAAAAAGCCATATGTATTTGAGCATCTCCCAAATGCACAGAACAATGTTATTGCAAATTGGTCTGTGTCTGGAACCTCGTGACACCAAAGGCAATGTTGCTCCAGCACTGTCCATATAATTGTTGTCACAGCAAGTAACAAAAGTGCTATTGCACTATTGCTGAAGGGCATGAATACGTACAGTCAACCACATTCCAGGTATGCATGCCAAACTAGCCCATTTCTCTGGTAATTCACTGCCATGCTGGAATGGTATGCAAATATTTTTACATTTTCCAGTACATATAGCACTGGCAATTCATCATAACTTTGATACTAGAAGAGATTTAGTGATTTCCTGTTAGTATGTCTTGTGTTCAGAGGTTTTATACTTTGTTTGCATCAATTTTATTCATGTGTGGCAGTGTACAAGTGCTTGCGGAATGCAAGTGTGCTTTTGTCTGAGCAGGAAAGATGCAGTGGTACGATTTCATGTTTATTATTTGTAAATCATATCGAAGTTGACAGGTTGTATGATCAAAGAAACTTGGTGTAGGCATATTGTAACACAACTGTGGAAAGATTATTGTTGTGTGCTGTTTGGTCTGAAAGAACCGTTTTATAAGTAGACTGCTGTTTGTTGTGTCAAACCATTCGCTGGCTCAAAAGTGCACCAGCTTTCAAAAAAAAAAAAAAAGGTTTCTTTCATGCTGGCATTGGCACCTTTAATTACTAAATTATGAGCAGCATGGATCAAGGTGATGTGTGTAAAAAGGAGATGAGCACTTTGTGTTACTAAATTTTGTTTGCTGTAATCTCTTCACTGTCTTCAGTCTACTAAACTAAATATTTCTATCAGTGCCACTCAAGTCAATACAGTTTTGTTTTGCATAAGATGGGAATTGTTCGGCTGGAAGGCATACCCTAAATTATCTAATCTAAATTGGCAGTGCTATTTTCTTTGAAAGGCTTCATCACAATTCTGAAAAATTCACAGCTAGTGTGCAAGTCATCTGGGAAATGAACAAGGTGATGAAGTGAATCTCTTGACCAAAGCTGACAGTTCAGGCAAGTCCAGCTGGCAGATTTTGTGCATAGGAAAGGGAAGCATTGCTTTAGTGAATATCTTGGTGTCAGTGCACTTCTGGCAATTTCTTGTGCCATTTAGGACCTCTTGCATTGTTTCCATGGGATTGCCTGTGCAGATGTGAGAGATGCATTTGGCCTGGTGCTGCGGCTGCCTTCAGAACCATGTGAAAACCTGTATACTTTTGTGGCGGAGCAGTCTGCACCCTGGAGGGATTTCTTGAGCATCCTGTGCCAGCACATGGGAAAGGTGTACAGTGTTCCAGACCATGTGAGCTCTTTCTCTTTATGCAGGAAGCATTTGCTTTTTCTTCTTTTCGAATCAGTTCACGGTCGAGGCAGCAGCAGCTGTAGTATGTGGCAGTATATTGACATGTGCCAGTCGCCCTTCATGGTAATGAATTTAATCGTAGCATCGTTTCATCAACACAAGCATTACCTCGCCGTACCGAAACTAATGCTTTTTATTTTTTTATTAAATGTTGCACCCTGCAAACAATTCAATACGAATGTCATTTCTTAATAGTTTTTTCCCCCCATTATTTTGGAAGACTGCCCATAGGCTTAGTATGACACAGCATCATAGATATGCATACAAATTTGCTTCATGCAGAGATTTTTAGTTGATTTAATTATGTTGACAATCTTATTTTCAGACTGCATTCATGAAGCAGATGTCTGTACAAGAGCTTGGTTTGGACCCCAGTTCCCTCCAGACGACACTGGCAAAAGCACTCAAGTAGGTTGCTCTGCTCAAGCTATTCTTCAGAATCTGGTGCCCTTTCTATGTTCTCCTTAATTGTTTCACAGTATGCCGCCCTGCTTTGTTTGGCTATGCATCGATTAACCCTATGCAGCGTGAAAGCATTTTAAGATGTCACTAAAAAGTGCAATTAATAATGACTACAATATTTTTTTGATGTCTCCTGCTTTTCTTACATTTGCATACATACATCAAATGTAATGCACAACTCCAGCTGTTTACCGGACTTATATATACAGACTTTCATTTACTTCTCCAGGATCATATTTTAGTGTTGGCGTGTCAAATCTCGCGACCTTTTTTTTTCTTTGCACTGCAATGAAAGGTGTTTTTTTTTAGTTTGTGGTTAAACCTGCAGTGGTTGACTCCAAAAAGGGCATGGATATTTGGTATAAATTAATTAGAAAAGGTGCTTTAAAAAAAGTAAAAGTGCCTCCTCCAGCAACTATGACACTTGATAGCAATTCAGCTAGTCCTCCTCGCAAGCTGTTTATTGAATTCAACGTCTTACATTTGCAAGAGTGGTTAACCACCTTCGTTTTGTCATTTTCAACTTGCCCAACTTGTCTACATGTGCCACTAGTCCCTAAGCTAACTTTCATGGTGCCTGTTGCCTCTGTTGATCGTGGAGGCCACAATCTGCCTTTCATGAGCATCGGATCACACGTCAGGCAAATGCGACACTGTTCTCAAAACAAGCAAACATATTTCGGCACATTTTGGGCTAGAAAAGATTATATAATAAAAGGTGTACTGTATTTCAGCATTGTAGAAACGATTAGCCACGTGAAACAATAAAAGGTTATGTGATGGTCATTATATGCACCTGCTCGCTTTGTTTTCGTGTGAGGCGCTGAAAGTGACTTTAACAGTGGTGGAACAGGTGCTCCAATTGCACCAATTTGATACCAATCTCTATTTCTGTGTTGAGCTGCACCAAAACCATGAAATTTGCTGAAATTGAGACGGTACGCAGAAATGCCTGGCCAGCCTCAAAACTTTCTCAGTTGCATAATTTCAGCAAGAAATAGAGGCCACGTTGGTCACCTGCAGTTTGTGTCATCAAACAACCCGAGCCCGCAGACCCTAAACAATGGTGTCAGCCATATTCCCATCAGGTCAGGGCACTCGCGAGACGCGATCGACCAGCTAAAGTAACGAAGCCGCACGCCCTTCTGTCCACTGACCACAGCAGATACCCGTTGGCGTGACGACGCAACTTCTTGACAAAAATGCATTGCCATAGCCACCAAAGCTTCACGGGAAATATGAACTTCCTAGTCGGCAAACGTGGCTATAGCATGTTAGAAGCTAGAGCTAAAAACGCATACAGTGTTTTTTCCTGCACGAACAGTCAACTTGGTGCAAATGCTGGCGTTGCCGGCGACCACGATGGTCGCCATAGCAAAGGCACATAAAACATTTTTCGGTCTCTAAGTTGCGTTAGTTGCGTCATCCTTGAAATAGTAAATACCTGGTGCTGTCGCCGGATCAACGGGCGCGTGCCGTTGTTACCTTATTTTGTAGAATGTGTCTTGCAAGTGATGTGAGAAGTTGTAACCTAAGCCTAACCCCATCGTGAAAAAAAAAAAAAGAAGAGGAAGCGTAGTGGTGTTAGAAAATTTTTTGGTCTTGCTCTAACCCATGCAGAACGCTGCTCAAACCACCATTGCACAGTACACCAGTACCCTGCGGAAAGGTGTATTATGATTTGGAAGGGGTTCTTAGCACTAGTCGCAGGACACAGCTCATTTTGTTCCATTCCCCATGCGTGTACCCACCGCATAACAGTGAGTACTGGCATGATTGCCGACTTCTAAAAATGTTACGGGCAATCATTTGGAGCAGTGTACGACATTGCTGGTGCCTTAAAGGGCAACTCACCAGATTTGACAATTTTTAGCTGACAAGCGCAATGCGTAGACGAGGCGTTCATGATCACGTCTGCCAAACTTTGCTACGCTACGCGCCACGGAAATGTGTCAAATTTCAAGATGAAAACTACTCCCCCTTCCCTCTGCTGGCACACGCGTAGAGAATGAGGGCATGACGTAGGCGTAGGAATGGCCCTACGTACACGGCAATGCAGTGACGTTGGTCCTCTATGTAGACGAGTCTGCTCTGACGTCAACAGTATACCACGTGACATGGCAAAAATTATTTAACACAACATGCATAGTTTATGTATTTGTTGCTTTAAGAGATTAATAAAACTTGAAATAAATGAGATTCAATAAAAAAATGTGCGTGTTTTTCTTTCATTTTTTTTTACCGTGAAATGCTACGAGATGCGGGACTAATGTGCCAGCGTTTCACGTGCGTTCGTGTCCCCGCGGTCAGCGCATTGAGCAGACGACCGCAGTGGAACGCTCTTACGCGTTCGCGCACTCATTGTGCTCATGTACTCTACTGCGTCTAAGCCAGCGTTTCTAAACCATCCCGCAGAAACAGGCAGAATACCACAAAATAACGCTGATCAACAAAGCAACGCTGCTCGTTTGCTCAAGGGTTGGACTTGTTTGGGCACGTCATGCACACGTCATCTCATGGTTGGATGCTGGAGAGGGTGGGAAGAGATTTGGCTTGCGAAGGCTACCCGGAGGAGCGGCAAGGGTTTCGAGAAAGCCTCCTCTCACCCTCGTTTCGTGCTGCTTCAGAAAACCTGTTTTCTCCGCTCGTAATGAACCGATTCGAAAATTTTTTGTGGTAAAACGTTCCTCATCGGACACCCAACAACTTCCACTGTCTAACTAAAATTCGGTATGGGGCATGGTGAGTGGCTTTTTAAGAGGGCAGACTGGTCTTGGACAATTTTTGTTTATTTCTTCAGTGATCTTGATTAAACTGCACAAGATTGTGCAGCTTTTTCTGCTGATTTCAAATATTTAGTTAGTTTTCCTGTAATCATCTTGTTCCTGAGATAACTTATGTTCACCCCCTATTGTTTAAGGCCACCATAGAAAAAAAGTGCTTAATTAAAAGTGATATTTAAGATATGCCAACATAGACTAATGACTAAAGATTGAAAGCATACAAGAGTTTTTTTTTGTTTTTAGGCCTTTCTTGGTTATTTTACAGCAAAATGAACTATCCATTCTCAAAAGTAGTTTGAATTGTGTCACAATTCGGTGAGTAATTAATTAAAAAGGCTTGTGCTCTAAATTCTGCACCCATACTTGCATTCTACACACATGCAGGTTTCCATTGCAAAAAAAAAATTATCGTTGTACCTGCCCTAGCCGCAGAGATATTGAGGCCTCAAAATTGAACAGTCGTAAATTTACTTTTTTTGAAAAAAATGAAAAAAAAAACTGATAACACACAGCTTCTTAAAGAGCAACAATCATGGTGCGAAAGTTTTGCAATCCTCATAAAGGTGCCCATAAATTCACGTGAGAGCTTCTAACACAGATGTCGGAAAATTATAAAGAAGCCTCGAAGTGGGTTTCGCATTTTTTGGCAGCTTCTGCATGTTAACAGAACCAAGAATCTGGACAGTTAGAACGACATTACAAAAAAATTACCCCTTCCTGGTGTATGAAAATTTGCTGAGAGATAGAAAAATACTTGCAGAAACCAAAGATGTCAATTTTAAAAAATTGAAATTTTTTTGTCACTTTTTGGTCCCAAAGACCAGTCTGCTGCCTTAAAAAAAAAAAAAAAAAAACTGTGCACCTTTTTGTTTTGCCACCCTTGCTGTTCAGTTGCACTAATCCCCTGATTTTCAAGGTCGCCAGCTACGCAGATTCACATTGGAATTGCAGAGTCTGTCAAACTATTTGAAAGACGTGGCAAATGCTAAAGTGGACTTTATCATTGTTTGCTCAGTGGGGTGGTTCAAAATACTACTTTATTGAAATAGCAATGCTCATGTTTACTCGATTCAGGTGATATTGAATAGTTCGTACATACCTTTTTTTTAATGTATACATAAGCATTCTCTTATTATACTGCTCCAAATTTGTTTTTTTTTTTGTGATAAAAAATGGATGTTTTGTGGAACCTGCTCCAAATTCGTATTTTAGTGCTCCAAAAGTAAAATTTGACTGCTCCAGAAATTGCTCCAAATTCTATTTAGGCTGTGCACCTGCTTTAATGAAGAAATGAAAGTATATCTGTTTGTAGTGGAAAAAGTGGGGCTAATTTTAGCTAGTACGATAGAGTTAATCTATTAGTGGGGTTATCTAAATTTGAGTTCTGAACAGTTGTCTGTTCCTTTAACAAACCACTTTGCCTTCTACCTCTCTACACACTGTCTGAAACTCATACCGCAACTGGATGCTTCAAAAATGTCTCCAAGTAATTATCGGTTGTGTTCTCAAGCAAACAAGGATTCCAGCAGCAATAAGTGGGTAGTTAACTACTCATCACAGCATAAAAAATAAAGTGAAAAATCAGTCAGTACATTGCTTGATACATAAAACTGACATTTATCTTATTTTTGTGATTGCTCGATTACTTTTTTCTCGGTTGTGGAAATTGCTATTCGTTAAGTTTTTTTTAGTCTGTTATGTGTCAGAGCGCATACAATTTTACTGGCAAACCTAAGCTTTCTGTATTTGTCTTTTCATCTTAGTAATAAGTCGCAAGGTGTGTATAATCAGCACGGCATTCAATACTTTAGTATTTTGTGTTTCTGCGCTCATTCAAAATGGCGCTATTCTACTGCCAGTACACAGGCACATTTGCTGTCTATGCTCTGCATAGGACGCTTTTCTCCACTGCACCGAATATGCGTTGTGCCACCAGGTTTCCATGTGCTTCGGCATACTCGATAACTTTTCTCTTATAGCCTATCGTAATTCACCATCAACTACCTCTCACTTATGAAGGAAATAGAAAAAAAAACTGCAGACTGACAGCCGATAACCAAGGCAAAATGGCATCGCTAGAACACTGTAGGCCTTGCCTAGCCTTGCCCAATCGCGCTGCTGCTGATGTTCACGATAGCAGTGGAAGCTTTCAACTTCAGCTGC